CTAAACCCCAAACCCGTAAACCCTGAGCCTTGAACCCTTGGCCAGGTACTGACGTCTGGGGAGGGTGGCGACAGCGACATTGCGATGGGCTCGGCATTGCACCACGGTTTAGGGTTTGGGGTTTANNNTTTAGTGTTTAGGGTTTAGGGTATTGCACGACAGAGGTTCTACTACTGACAGTTAGGCTCGTGTTGTGGCAGTTGTAGTCTAGTAGTAGTTATGGTTATGGTTTTACATTATCACTGTAATTCCCTACTCAGAAGTACTTTCGACATGGAAGTAGATAAATATTGTACGCGGGAACCCATGTCAATGTGACAGCAACCAAGATCCGTAAACCCTAAAGCATCAACTCTAAACCGGACCAAGATGATGCTGGTTGATGCGACTAACCGGATTCGTAGACCCCAAGCCCTGAATCCTAAACCGAAGCCCGAAACCGTGTAACCCTAAAAGCAGCCCCTGCAACCCTCAAACCAACCCCTACTGTAGTGCAGTTCGTCGTATACTTATATTGCCTAAGCCCTATACCCTAAACCCTANNAGCCCTACAGCCTAAACCTTAAACCCTAAGCCCAATTCCTAAGCTCTAAACCCCTAAACCCTAAACCCTAAACCCTAAACCCTAAACCCTAAACCCTAAACCCTAAACCCTAAACCCTAAACCCTTTGTAGAAGCCCCTTGTAGGTGTGACTATGAGCCAAGCCCGCGACCAAGGTCTCCCTGTTGAAGCGGCCGGGTCCTCGGGCAAAGCAGTTCCTTCTTCCGGGGTTCAGGGTTTGGTCCGGGGGTTTTTTGGGTTTGGAGAAGAGAGGGTTTAGGAATTGGGGGTTTGCTGTTTGGAGTTTAGGGTTAGGATTTGAGGGTTTGGGGGTTGGAGTTTAAATTAGGGTTTAGGGCTATACGGTTTGGGGTTTAGAGTTTAGGGTTTACCTGGACACCTAAAAGTATGTAGTATAACGGCCTTTTTGAGGTGTTCGGCTATCTTTTGCCTACTTTTTTTTGGGGGGGGATTTAGGACTCTTCCAGGCTTGAGATTTTAGGGTGTGCGCTTGTAAAGGCTTTCGGATGTAGTAGTTCAGGGTCGGGGGCTCAGGCCTTCATTACAATGGGGTTTGGTGTAACATCGAAGAATATATGCCCAGAGCCCTAAGCCCTAAACCCGAAATAGCTTGTAGATATCAGGGCCTAGGCTACAGGATCCGCGCTGTGGAATTCAAGGTTTCGGGAACCACTGGTTTGCATGTGTGTTTACGCATACCAGCCTTGTTGGTACCAGTCTGCATGCAATTGCTGTGCGACGTCAGGATGAGGATGACGAGGATGACGATGGCTAATCGAATCGAGAAGAAGACCGTGCCGATTGTGACGTTGATCATGGCGGTGTTTGCAATAGTGATGATGAGGATGATGGTGATGATGACGATGCTGATGAAAGGGATGGAATGACGAAGATGATAATTGTGCTGGTGAGAGTGGCGGTGACGTTTTTGTTTGTGCATGTGGTGGCGGCGGCAATGGTCGCGGCGGTGACGATGCTGTTGCTGATGATGATGCTGCTGACTAGCTCCTGCAAGCACTACTACTCAGGCGTGCTCGTAACCACATTAGTCAATCATCTTCAATACCATTCTAATTAATCTCACTGCTGTTCGGATGACGCTTAGGTGTGCCCTAAAACCCTTGTGCAAAGAAGTTACTGCTGTAGGAGTCGCCCTTGGCAGTTTGCCGCTCTATGCCCGCAGCCCGTTTGCAGCATCACTCGGATCCGCTCTTTTCTGCAAGCTAGTCTTGCACACGCGCGGCGCCATGGGTTGTGTCTCAAGTTCTGTCTGCCGCATGCAGGATTCGACCTTGTGCCACGTGCCGGACACCTTTCCGAAGCCCCCCCAGGTGCTGCCGCCAGGCCATCGAATGCACGAGCTTTACGTTAGCGAGCTCAATGCATACCTCTTGTTGGTGGCCAGCAATCCGCAGGCTTTCCAGAACAAGGTCCGGGGTGTGCTGCACTGCGGTTCCAACTTCCCCAGTTAAAGCCTCAACTATTCTCCTCCATCCGACTGCGCGAGCCGTATAGATGCTCCTTGAATCCCACGCATAGTTTGGTAAACCCTGAACCCTAAACCCTGAATCCCACACATAGTCTGACGACAAGGTTTTCTTACGCATTCCACAGCCGGGCCAGTCTGGGCTGGCCACCAATCAACCCCTGATTATGAAACCTTGGGTCTTTTTTTTTTTTTATAGATTCTAAGATTTGGGGCCAAAAGGACCAAGGTTTCCTAGTCAGGCTCCTCATGACTATGAAGCATGTTACCCCAAGCAAGGCTGGCTTGGTCCTGGATGCTGGATCCTGAACCCTTTACTCTGAATTCGAGTTTCGGGTTTAGGGTTTAGGCTCCTTAAAGACACCTGTGACCCAAAGACATGCCACAGGTGGAGATGCGCCGCCACGCCCATTTGGGCAGGTATCCCGAGAGAAAGCCGGAGTTGCTAGAGCAGCCAACCGCGGCAGACGATGCTGAGTGGGTCAGTGTCTCTCTGTAATATAGGGGCTTAAAAAAATTACCTTCAAGACATTTTGGGGTTCCTCAGTATGATCCTCGAAACCTTATTTTTGCTGATATTTAGGCCCCTATATCAGCTGCGGCTCATCATGAGGGCAATGGAGTGCTCTTTTGACAGTTGCTAGCACAGGGATTGCGCCAACGACGCAGCACAGAAAGAAAGTTTGAAATGGCTCATGTGCACTGAAATCGAGTTCGTGGTGAAGGCCGAGTGAGGGCGAACATCGCTTGCACGAATTATCCAATATTGTCCTGAGGAAGGCGCCCCATGCGTGCTTTCGAGTTTATAGACTTTTGGTTCCACCGATGTCTATTGCAAAGGCGGAGCATGCTGTACTATAGTTTACTTCTCTCTCTCTGTCTCTCTTTCTCTTTCGTTCTCTCTCGCTGCCTCTCTCTCTCTCTCTCTTCCTCCCTTGCTCACTCCCTCGCTCCCTCTCACTTCTCCAACGACGTTGAGTCTCACCATCCACGCACACATCGCATTTCGAAGGAACTTCAGCAAATAGGCTCTGCGACGCAGGCCTCGGATTCTCCTTCAAATCTCCTTGGCCCTCTCGGTCGTCACAGCAACGGTCTGAGAGGGCCCTGAATCTTGCACAGTGAGTCCGAAAAGTTGGGACATGGATTTAGGATGATTAATGCTAGGATTCCCTATACTGTATCTTTGGGGCATGAGGATACCAATGTTCCAACTTTCTAGCTTCTACTTTCGAGTTGTCCTAGACTCGGGTTCCTCGAGTCTGGGTACATAGTCGAAGAGTAGCTCGTAGACTACAATTAAAGGACTCACCCCAATCATAACAGCTCTGAGGAGAACCCACATCTTTGTCGGCCCCTCGAGCAAATTGTTTTCCGAGATAACTTCGACTTCGATGCAGTGGAAGTGAAGTCGAAAATGGCCTGTGAAGTTGAGGTCACAAGCTGCAACTGTGTAGGAGATGAGTTCAACGTGTTTTGGGGCTTGTTGGTTTTATGAGGCTAAGTGAACTAGGGTTTGCAGGGTGAAAAAAGGTTTGCCCTCACACCTCAATCCTACGCCCTAAGCCCTAAACCCTAAATCTTAAACCTTAAACCCCTTCAGCTCTAAAACCTTAAGCTATCGCACACGAGTGTAAGTCGGCACTTGACAATCCAGAACTTCCTGCGTGACACATGGGTAGTTCTCTGAATCAAAAAGCGTGTTTAAGGGTGCCTTACTTTTTTGGGTGACCTAAAATGGGGATCTGAAGAAGGTAAGGTTTAGGGTATGTTGAGGGTTGGGGGTTCGGGCGTGGGGTCTGGTTTAGAGTGTAAGTTGGTTTTGATATCGGGCAAAATGATGTCGACCCGGTGTTTGTCTTGTAGCAAACCGGGCACACCAGATCTGTTTGTGAACTGATTTGAGAAAGTACCATAGGCACAAGATCCGGAAAGTGCCGGAAGAGAAGCCACTCGATATACGTCGGGGTTGAGTTGGCGGAACCTCTAGACCCTGAGCTGAATCTTCTTCGTGCAGTTGCAGGTCGTTTTGGCCCCTTTAGCCCTACACCCTAAGCCCTGAACACGATGCACAGGATCGACATTTTCGCACCCATCGGCAGCAACGACGATCCCCGTGAGCAGAACAGGTGCTGGCCTTCGGCGATTAGTAGCTGAATGAGTACGCTTAGAACTTTTTGGGATAGTATTCTCCCTCGTGAAATTTTGGGGCTTATGAACCCAGCAACCAAGCTAAAGTTGACGGGGTTGGGCCATTCGGTTTTTGGGGCTTATGAACCCAGCAACCAAGCTAAAGTTGACGGGGTTGGGCCATTCGGTTTAGGGTTTAGGGCTAGGGGGTGTGCTGTAGGAGGCTCTGCTCGTCGGGTTTAGGGTTTAGCGTATTACTCGTAGGGTAAAGGGCTTCGGTGTCTAGGATTTAGGGCATGTGTTGAGCACAGTTGCTTGAGGGCGTCTAGAGGCTCCTCTGGCGATTTAACAGCATGTTCCATAAACCCTAAACCCTAAACCCTAAACCCTAAACCCTACATGCAAATAAGCGGGAACCTAAAATGCATCGCCAACTCGTAGGATCCTCGCTACCAGTGGTTCCTTGTCACATCAGCAGCCGTGAGCCCTAAGCCCGAAATCGTAAACCCTGAAACCCAAAATCCTAGACCCTAAATCCTAAACCCTAGACCCTAAAGCCCAAAACCCTAAACCCTAGATCCTAAACCCTACATCCTAAACTCTAAACCCTAAATCCTGGACCCGAAACCCTAAGCCCTGGGACCCAGAACCCGAAGCCCGCGAACCCATGCCCTTCAAGGATTCAGCTCAGCGGTTTAGGGTTTTAGGGGTACTTGGGGTTTAGGGGTACTTGGGGTTAAGGGGCTTTGGGGTTTTGGGATTTTGGGGTTGAGGGTGTTAGGGGTACTTCGGGTTTTGGGGGTTTTGGGATTTTGGGGTGTAGGGTTCAGGGTTTTAGGGGTACTTTGGGTTTAGGCTTTTGGGGTTTTGGGATCTAGGGGTTAAGGATTAGGGGTTTATAGTTAAGGGGGTTCTGGGGTTTAGGATAGTGTAGATCACTGATGTTATCCTGTCGGTTATTGCGGTCTTTACCTAGTGTGACCTCGATTTACAACTTAGGCTCTCGGCTTAAGCGCGCCTCTTTGGGCCTTAGCATGTAGGGTATTTCTTATAGTCTGTAGTTTGGGGATTGGGGTTTGGGGTTCTTGCCAGGGTCTGGACTGTGGAGCTTGGCTTCAGGGACGTCTCTTGAGATATGGGATCTTCCGAAAATAGGGGACCCTAATAACTATAGTACCCTAAATAGTAGGGTCCCTATTACAAGGACCCCAAACTCCCATAATATAATTCTGAAAGCTTCAGGTCTGGAAGTTTCGCACGTGACCAGAAGCTCCATTTTGGCATACCTCTTCCTTACACCATAGTCCTAAGCCCGCGTGCCTGTGTGTGGAAGTTCTCAGCACAAGCGGAGTGCTTCCATGAGATCTGATGCACGAGTTTCTGCACATCCCTAAGCCCCAAACGCTCAACCCTAAACCAAACTCTACGCCGTCAAGCCCGAACACCCCCCCCCCCCTTATGAAGCTTATTTCGGCACATCTCGCACTGAAGCATCGGCCTTATGTTGTTAGCAGCCTCCAGACTCGATTCTTTGCCCCAAAAAGCTCTCCGCCCCTAATTATTCCAAGTTCCCAGAATTCACTATGAACTCAAGTGGTTTCTTAGGAAAAACGTTGCTTTAGTATGCATCTGAGGGCCGTGTGGGAGTGCTGTATGTTCACTTCTCTCAAGATCTTTATGACCAGGATCCAGAGTGTGTTTTGGCGCTTCTGAAGGATGACTCCAGTAAGGTTTAGGGCCTCAGGGTTTAGAGGCTTAGGTTTAGGTTTTATGGATCAGGGGTTTAGGGGCTGATGGTTTGATGCTCAATCAAAGAACTTCCGGAGGTGGAATCTGACGCAGCCAGATGCTTGCTCAGCGCCCTTTCAAGCGCAGGTCGCCGTGGCTTGCGAAACCCTACTCCCCAAACCCTAGACCCTAAGGAACCCTAAGCCCCAAACTCCAAGGAACCGCAGACCCTATGCCTTGAACCCTAAAAAAACCCTCAGCCCCGTGGAACCCAAAGCCCTTTCAAGCCCAGGTTGCACATCAGGTTTTTAGGGCCTTCAGGGTCCAAGCTTGGAGAGAATAGAGTTTCAGGTGCCACAGGGTTTAGGTTAAGGGTTTAGAGTTTAGGGTTTAGGGTTTAGGGGTTTGGGGGTTTAGAGTTTAGGGGTTTAGCGGTTAAGGGGTTTAGGGTTTTTAGGGGTTAGGGGTTTGGGGTTTAGGGTTTCGGGGTTTAGGGATTCCGAGCAGAGTGCTTGGGACCTGGAGCGCTTTTACACGGGCACTTGGCCCCAGAGAGAAATGAGGAATTCAAGCAGCCGACCCTAGACAAAGGGGATGATCCAAGTCTGGTTTGGAGTTGGGGACCAAACCCTAGCCCTAAAATCTAAGCTCTAAACAGTGGTTTTTGGGCATTAGGGTTGCAGGATACGGAATGCTGGGTTATACATGGAACTTGAGACCGATGTCTATTCAGAGACTCGAACCTCTCTGAACTAGGTATTCAGCAGGGATCCTTGCTTGAAGAATCATGGAGGAATGCAGTAAGTGAGCTTAACAACAGCTCAACTTTCCTAGTATTTCAATAAGTATGGCTGCAAAAAGGCCTCGGCCTACCCCCATTGGGGCTAAGCCGACCCCCAATACAAGAGGTAGAGGCGGTTTCAGGTCTTCTACTCTCACATGCCCTTCGCTCAAACCCTATGCTGTCACCCGACACCCGCAGCCCTGTACTATACCCCAGACCCCAAGATACTGCCTGTAGTCTCCATTGTAGTTCCTTTCTTTGGTTTAACCAAACATATATTGAGGATTTAGAAGGTATCCCCAAAAAGGAACTGCAATGGAGACGAGAGGTCCTACTATAGGTGGCATTTAAAGTCAGTGCGGGGTCTTAACATCAAGTGTCCAAATCTTTGGGGTCTATTTTGGGCGGGCTTCTTGGATACTACCCTGCCGATTCAGGAGCAAAGGAGCAGGATTATTTCAGGAGTATTCTTTGCACGCAGCCTGATCGGTCTTCAGAAACGCTCCCATTTTTTGCTGTGTCCCTGACGACAACAAAGTCCTAACTACGATGCGTTGGGTTTCAGCTGCAAGACAGAAGATGCCTGTACTTGCAGACAGCTAAAGCGTTCTGGCAGAGGAGTCTCACACCCAAGGAGGGTCTGCAAAATCCTGGCCGACCCTGGGGCAGCCGACCGAAATCATTCCTAGAGATGCCTTGTTGCCGAGCAGAAAACAAAGCATTACGGGACCACGGCCATAGGGCTAATTGTTTTTTGTTTTTTTCGGTTTTGGTGGGCTTTGGGTGGCTTTTAGGGGGTCTTAAAGCTCGGTGCTTGGAGCTGTAGCCTTTTGGCATGCTTCGGAGAGTGCACGAGTCACTCACTTGACCGTTACATGTAGGTGCCTCTATCAAAAGGCTAGGCCTAGAGACATCGTTTTGGGGTAGTCGCAAGTTGCACCCAGTCATACCTTAACCAACCAAAACCCACTTTTTTGTAGGTTCTTATTATGAACCCTAATATGGGTTTTAGGGACCCTGCAAAAAAGTAGGTTCTGGTGGGTTATATAAGGTAGAGAGCGAGGCTCAGGAAGCTTTGGGGAAGAACCGGAGCTTGGCCTTTGGTGCCTGAGAAGATGCTGACGAAAGCCCGTGGCCCATGTTGCTTCCGGCTAACGAACTCATAGGGTGTCGAGGTACATTGTACTACAACTGTCAGAAGGAGCCCCAAAATAGCCCGTACACCCTAAACCCCAAAATGCGATTGGTGAATACTTAGGATTCTATATTGCTCATCTCATCTCCTTGCAGGTCCTCGTTGAGATACATCCTCAACGGCCCATGGCCTGTCTAACACCGTTGGTGTAGTCATAAACAAAGCGATTTCATCATGCTCCTCGCGGGAAGTGGCAGGGTTTAGAGCCCTGTCCTAAACCCTGAACCCCTAGGCAGGTGGAACCACGACGATGTTCGCGCAGGTCATTATGCACTCTCTCGGTTTGGAGACTCATGGCTTCCGCTGATGCCTAAACAGATAGCCCTAAACGCCAAGCTCTCTTTTTTTTTGCAACGCGAAATGAGAATATTTGGATCCTTCTTTACTCGGCGAGGTTCAGGGTTGAGGATTGAATGTGTGCAGCATGGGTTCAGGTTTCAATGACGCCGGCTCCCAAGCCCTGAACCTTCGGACCAAAAAACACCTCGGAAATGCCAAAAGACCTTTCATTTGATCCACGGCTCTCAACTCCCTGAGGGCTACTTGTGGAGGCCTGTGAAGTTCGGGATGCCTTCTCGGCAGAAGAGCGCATCTTACTTCAAGCTCAGCTTATGCCTTACTTACTGAAACCTCGAAGAGACCGGAGTCTAGACCCCAACGGTTTCCATCCCTTCAGGGTTTAGGGTTTAGGGTTTAGGGTCTAGGGTTTAGGGTTTAGGATTTAGGGAGGTGACTCATAAGGCTAGAATTTTACGAGAAAAGGACCTTTTATTTTCCCGTAAAGCTCCCAAACAAGATCCCCAAGTATCAGGCCCTTTGATTCAGAAATAGAACCAAAACTGAAATACCTCGCCATGTATGGTTTTCAGGTCGTATGAGGCTTGTGGGATGTACGGTTTAAAGAAGGCTTTCAAGGGAGTCTTAAGGCTATTGGGGTTACAGCTCTTGAAGGGCTTAGGTTTCCAATCCTTCGTTTCAACGCACTTACAAAGCCGCGAAACATGCTCGCCTCTAAACACTGTCTAAACACCTACTCTACAAATCATAGAGCCGTGTTAAGCCCCGATACCAGCTTCATAGGCGGTAGAATAAACAAAACCTGATGGGGCTCGCAAGAATCCTTGCAAGGATCAACTTTGGCTTCTGAGCTCAAAGCTACCGCCTCTAAGGTCCCTATAGTAGCCCTTATGGTAGGGTTTAGGGTTTAGGGTTTAGGGTAAGCATAGGGTATAGTAGCCCGTAAACCTTGTGCTATTCAGCTCTTGAATCACCGTAGCCTTCTTCGAGTAGCC